GTGTCATGGTAAGCTGGCCGCTCGGTTGGCAAAGAGCGTGATGCCCAGGCTGCCTTGTTTGGGGCTCCTTCCTTTTGGGGAGGGGGGCATCACCATGCCAGCTGGGGTGTGCGTGTGTGTGTGTGTGTGTGCAAAGCCCAGGGAGGGAGGGAAGGGACAAGAGCAGCAGCAGCGGCTGCTGCTGCAAAGAGCCGCTTCCATGCACCGTGCGCCCCCCCCCATCCCCGGGCACCCTCTTGCCCACCGGCCCTGCGGGTGGGAGAAGCGACCCTGACTCCGGGGGAGTCGCCGCTCTCCAGCCCGGCCAGCCCCTTCCCAGCCCCGGGGCGGCGCAGCTCGGCGCGCAAAAACCACAAGCAACCTCCGCTCGGCTGGCCCGGGTCGGGCTGGGCGGCTGCGCGCGCAGGGCGGCGGCGGCGGGGGGGGAGAGGCAGGCCCGGGGAGGCGGCGCCAGGGAGGGGGGAGGAGGGGGAGGAGGAGGAGGGGCGGCCGCCCCCCCCCCCCCCCCCCCCCCCCCCCCCCCCCCCCCCCCCGGCCCGGCCCCTCCGCGCTCCCGCTGCAGCCGCCGGACTGGGCGCAAAGTTGGTGGGCGCGCTCCGCTCCTCCTCCGCCTCCTCTGCGCCCGCGTGCCGGGGATGGCGCGGGCTCCCGCGGCCTGAGATCCGGCGGGCGGGCGGGCAGCAGCGGCGGCAGCAGCAACCGGAGGGAGGTCCGGGAGCCCCCCGGACCCGGAGCGGAGCCCCTGCGCGGGTGGAGGAGGAAGAGGAGGAGGCAAGATGTCCGCCCGAGTCGTCGCCTCCGCCGCCGCCGCCTCCAAGGTGAGCCTCCGCGCCGCTCCCCTCTTCCCCCGCGGGGCCCAAAGGGCGACTTGCCCGGTCCGGGGGGAGCCCCCCGCCCGACCTCCGCGCCCGAGACCCCCGGAGGGGCCGCCAGGGGAGCCCGGCCGCCCGGGCGCAAAGCCAGGGGCAATGCCCGCTTGGCGAGGGAGGGCGCGTTTGGGCCATGGGGAGGGGGTGGTGGTGGCAGGGACCCCTCCCCTTCGACTCCCCCTCCCCGGGGGGGTGTCTGGCTTTCTTGGAGAGGTGGGGGTCCCTGCCCTCCCGATCTTCTCTCCCCCCCCCCTCCTTCCCTAGAGGAAGAAGGCCTTGGAGGATTGGAGCTTTTGTTGGCAAATCTGGCCTCCCAGCCCGGCCTTAATCCTAAACCCACCCTGGCCCTCCCCCTCTTCCCCAGCAGTGAAGGGGCTGGCTTTCCCAGGGGCTCCTTCCTTTGCAATCCTGGGCAGACTCCGCTCCCCTCCCCTCCGGTTCCAAATCAATGGTGGCTTTGCAATTGGGCTTAGCAAGGCAGGAGCCCACTCTGGGGGCCCCCTCCCCACCCATAGGCCTGGGGCTGCTGCCCAGGGGCTCCTCCACCCCCACCTCTAAAAAAGCTGTTGGTGCTGGGAGATTTTAACCCCACCTCTTCCCCCCCCCCCACACCCCATAGAGGCAGGGTCCTTGGAGGTCTTCCAGGGTTGTGATCTGGGCTGGGAATGGAAATAGTGTATGGTAGCACGTGGCCAAGCGGAGGGGGGGGGGTTTGTGTTGTTGTGTGTCCTTTCTCTGGAATTCCACAACGCCCAAAACCCAACCGACAGGTTTGCCAAAGAATCTTGACAGGATGGGATCAGCCGCTTCTTCTTTTTCTTCTTCCCAGACCTGGTTGGGGTGGTTCCCGTGGGGGAAACACCTGCTAGGCCTCCGAAACAGGTGCCTCCTGCACAATGCGCCCAGTTAGATGCCTGCCTTAGCTCCGGAGAAGGGCTTTTTTGCGTGCCTGGAACATGCCAAGGGAAGAAGAGGATCCCAAAAGAGGATCCACCTGTTGGATATCCAGCTTGGCTCTTCAGCTTGGCACAGGGGGAGGGGGGGGAGGAAGGGGGGGGGGGGGTGTTAGTTGCTCCTTTGTAGACCTGTGGAATGGCAGCCTTGATTCTGGGACTCTCGGATGGAGGGAATCACGGCATCCGTCTCCCTCCAGAGTCGGCTTGGAGTGGCAGCTCAGTTCGGGGGGCCGAAACTCTGCAGTTTCGGTGTCGTCTCATTGCTGTGTGCTTCTGTTCCCGATGCAGCCGCCTCCAGGCTTTGCAATTTGGCAGTCCTTCTTGGCATCGGGCGGAGGTATCTGGTGGCAGTCGCCGAGGCTCCTTCGCCAAATAAATATTGGATCGGCTCTCCCAGGCTTATTTTTAACCTCCATTCATTGGGTGGATGGGCCCCCTTTGCAGAAAAAAAGCCGGATTTAGGCCTCGGTGGGGCTGCCGGTGTGGGGTTGGTCTGCCCTCCGCCCCTTTTCTTTTTCACTACTTAAAACAATCACTTTCCAAACTCCCTTTGCTAACCCGTTTGGCAACTTTTCAGGAGAGGAGGGGTCTGGAATCTAAACAACCATTTTCCGGAGTTGTTTTTTTTTTTCCCCTATGGAAATCCATGCATTTTATTCCTTCGTGGAGCAAATTGTGGATCAAAAACAGAAACCCAGACGCTTTAAGAAGTGTTTTGTAAATTCAAAACTTTTGCAAACGCTGCCCCTTTGATCAGGGGGTGTCCAACCAGGGCAACTTTTAAGACTTGTGCATTTCAGTTCCCCCACCCAGCGTGGCTGGCTGGGGAATTCTGGGAGTTGAAAGTCCACAAGTCTGAAAGTTTTGTCACGGTTGGACACTCCTGCCTTAAATAATAAAAGCTGGTATTTTAACGGCTGTCCATTGTTTGGCCTGCAAGAATGCAGAGAGTTGGTAGCTAAGGGTTTGCTCCGGAAATGTGTGTGTGATAGGACCCAGGCCTTGCTTTGTAGCTTATTATTTTTGGCAGAACAATGTTCTTAGGCCTCCTGGTCCATTGTGCAGTGAGGGAACAGGGTTTTATTAAAACTGCACTCTGGCTGCCCAAGGAAGGAAAACAATTTTGAGCCAACTGTCTTTAAAGCTCTTTACGACATTTTACTCTGCTTTGTGGCACACCCTGGTGTGGTGGTGTGTTTGTTTAAGCACTGCGTGTTGACCGTTTTACAGGAGTGCTTTGGGTCCGAGATGGGAAAAGCAGACTTAAATTATTCACCATAGCTGGCTGCAAAATTCTTGATGTCCAGAGGTGAAGCCGACATTTGCAAAAGTTTTTATGGGTTCAAGTCATGGTGCAAAAGGAACCCCCTTCCGCTATTTTAAAGGACACATCATGAGCAATTTGGAAGGGTTGAGCATTTGGGTCACAGAAAAATTGGCGAGGAACACACCTGTACACACACACACACACACACACACACACACACACGTGTGCGTGTGTGTGTGTATAATGTGTTCCCTATTGGAGTTGGTTAGTGGACCAGGATGAAAATCCCACATCCAACCCATGATATTCTTTTTCTGGCTTTTAACTTCTTTAATTTTGGTTTATTTAACATTTCATGTTTTATACCTCCGTTTTGATGATGCTTGCAAGTCTCTTGTCAGTGAGATGGGAGGCATTTAAAATGTAATTAATTAATCATGGGGTGGAATTACTTCTTTCTAGTGCTGCCTTCTTGGTTACAACACTGTCTGGCTGAGTCAATTTCATGCATTGTGTGTTGAATTTGGGCTTCGGGTTTACATTGTCCAAGCGAGAAGCTTGTAAAGTCTTAGGTGCTGGGTTCTTTAGCTTCCCTTCATTATATTTCTGTTTTTTTTTCTCCCCCTTTGTGCCATTGTCTGCTTTGTGGATGGCCAATTTGCTTTGCTTGCTTCATTCCCACTCGCTTTGGAGAAATATTAACCAACGTTGTCTTGATGTTCTTGAGATAAGGAAAAAAAAATATTTCTGCTTGCTGCAGTTTGGAGCTCAAACAAGACCAGGCGCAGTAGGAGTGAAAACCACTAATTAATACTTCATTTTGCTTACGAGAGGGACAAGTCGGAAGTTCATCTAATTATCTGGGGGTTTTTTTTGTTTTTTTTTGCAGACTTGAGACGTAAGCAATCTTTATTTGGGAGCAACCTTGGAATCAATCTGTCAGGCGAGACTTAATATAGTAGTTTTGTTGTTCGTCTATTGTGGAAACACAATTCAATTATTTATCATGGGATATGCTAATCCCAAGGGGTTTTGAGAGCCTGTTGGATTGGGACGGTCTGCAGGGTTGATTTTTTTATTATTATTATTCAAGGGGCGGCCTTAAAAAAAACAAACAGGTTTCGTCTGGAAAAGATTTCACTTTGCACAACTTGAAATGAACAATAAAAAATTATACAATTCCAGTTAAGGGCTGCATTTTTAATATCTTGGGAGAACATGCACGGCCTTGGTGCAGTCCTGTGCTTATCGCCATTTGTTTAATGACCACTTGAAGGTAGAGTGGTCTTGAGAGAAGTGATTACGACCTGTGCTTGCACTTGTGACCATCACACCACTGCCAGAACCAGATCACATTGACAATTGATTGCGAGGTTGTACAATCCAATGCGATTTGTGGTCTTTATTGTTGTTTTCCGACAAAAATAAATAAATCCCAATGCCCATTGGGGACGCTGGATTCGCTTAATGTCCATGCAATCTGCATAAACCACCATCGTAAAAATTGTCGTATAATTGGGTCCGACTCGACTTATGACTGCAATCACTTCATGACAAAAATTCTGGTTGCAATTGTGAGGCAGTTGAGCTTTTAGCAGCTAAGGAGCCAGTTGGTGGTCTGCAGGAGAACATTCCCCCACACCCAGGTCAGAAGAAACTAATGCTCCTTCTTAATTAATAACCTTAATTAACAGAGTTGGAAGGGATCTTGTAGGTCATCTAGTCCAACCCCCTCCCCTGTTAATTTTTTATTCAAGGGATACAGCTTGCAAACTGCACCCCTCCCAGCAAGGAGCAGTTACACCTTAGGCTCCAAAAGGCACACATACAAATATATATGTTTAAGGATTTCTTTCCCACGGCTTGTAAACCGCTTCCTTTGTTTGATCTCAGAATTACTGTCCTCCCATTGCGCTGAATTTGGGGGGGATATTCCTTACTGACCTTAAGACGCGTCCTTAAAACGGCTCTTGCAAGGTTGAACACACCTCCTCCTAAAGACAACTGTGCAAAAGTTCACAGTTTCAGGACCGATTTTCACCAGGTTTAACCACGAAAGCGTTCCTCCATCACCTGAGCCCGTGGATGTGCTTTGAGTACAATACCTCTTCCTCTTAATACATATAGATATTTGTCTTCATTGGATCCAAGCGGAGGAAGGGGAGTTCTTGCCACAGTTCTTAAGTGAATCAAGGCAGGTGTTCAGTTAGTAACATGCTGACTTTGCTTGTCAGTAGGTTGCAAAAGGGAATCATGTGACCCTGGGATGCTGCGACCGTTGTAAATACGAGCCAGTCGCCAAGGGTCTGAATTTTGACCGTGTGGCCATGGGGATACTGCAATGGCCGTAAGTAAAACGGTCATAACTCACTTTTTTCAGTGCCATTGTAACTTTGAATGGTCACTACATGAACTAATGTACTCACTTTTTTCAGTGCCGTTGTAACTGAATGGTCACTACATGAACTAATGTAAGTCAAGGACTACCTGTAGTGGATGTGGGTTTTTTTTAATTGTTCTTTCTTCTCTAGTCTAGAACAGAGGTCTCCAAACCTGGCCACTTTAAGACTTGTGGACTTCAATTCCCAGAATTCTCCAGCCAGCTATGCTGGCTGGAGAGTTCTGGGAGTTAAAGTCCACAAGTCTTAAAGTGGCCAAGTTTGGGGACCCCTGGCTCTTAACCTAGGAATTCTGGGAGTTGAAGTCCACAAGTCTTAAAGTGGCCA